AGTACTAGTACTAGTACTGGTACTAGTACTAGCACTAGCACTAGCACTAGCACTAGCAGTAGTAGTAGTAGTAGTAGTAGTAGTAGCAGTAGCAGTAGCAGTAGCAGTAGCAGTAGCAGGAGGAGTAGTAGTAGTCGTAGTAGTAGTAGTAGCAGTAGCAGGAGGAGTAGTAGTAGTAGTAGTAGTAGTAGTAGTAGGAGTAGTAGTCGTAGCAGGAGTAGTAGTAGTAGTAGTAGTAGTAGTAGCAGTGGTAGTAGTAGTAGTAGTAGTAGTCGTCGTCGTCCGTGTCGTCGTCGTCATCTGTATAGAAGAAACGTGCCTACGGTTTTTGTTTGCATTGCAATTGCATTATCTAATCCCCATGCCGATGTAGAGGAACCTTCACTGCTATTCGCTTGACCAATCATCTCTCGGCCCTGCACTTTGCCCTTGTTTGTGGCACCTCCTCCTCACCCAATCTCCAAGTTCGCCCCGCTGGGAAGGGCACGCTCTGTCCGAGCCACGGCAGCTGCAGCCCCAAGAGGTCAGCGGCGACCTGCGCTGTGGGCAGGGACAGCACAGGGCATCCTTGCGAAGCAAAAGGCGGCATTTTCTCGTTCTTGTGGCTTCGTGGAGCTGGCAGGTGGCATCTTCACCTTTCGGATTTCCGACTGCAGGCCGTTGCACAGCAACATCTCTTTCAGCTGCACATCCGACAGCTTTCAGGCAGTTTCGTCGCAGAGCCATTTCACGAAAGCCACGAACTCAACGGATCCCAGCAGTTCAGACATTCAGACTGTTTCCTGTGTTTTGCCCTGAAGCAGGACCGAAGTTCTTCGAGGTTACCAGCATTTGAGGGCAGTTTGGGGGTCTGCGAGGCCAATCTAGCAGATTTAATGGCCGGCGGAAGCCGGGCCCTCCCCTCACTGGCTCCACAAATCAAACGTTGCAGCAAAAGTCATGAAATTCCTGGCAGCTACTTTCTGAGCGCAACTCAGACAGAAAGAACAACAGATGCATCACCGTCCTCGCAGTAGTCAAAGTTGAAGCCATCCTCCGGCCGAGCACTGTAAAGCGACCCTAGGCCCTAGGCTCCCAAACAAAAAACGCGCCGGCCCAGGTGGTATCCCGACTTATCCGGCACGCAGGGACCTAAGCGGTTTGCTGGGCTTCCGTTGAAATGTCTGCAACATGCAACCTCATGGATATTAAACGTGCTGTGGCGCCATGGCTTGCTGATGGTTGTATGTCTCGATTGAAATCCACCTGCCCCAGCCATTGCAAACCCTGGAAAGAATAAACTCAGACGACTGACCATTTCCACAGCACACCATCACCAAAGCCAGCCAGACAGTAAAACGCGGAACGACGAAGTGAAGGAGCTGCAAGCCGCTGTTTCCTGGCATCGACCTCAAATCAAATCATCCTTTTGCCAGGCCAGACATCGTATCCGAGCGCTCCACGCGACAGGCTGAAGTCTTTCGTGGGCATCCGGGTGTCGGACTCGCAAGGGTTCAAGAAAGGGATCCCTCCATAGATTTTCGAACTTGCCAGCAGAGTTCGGGGGGGGGGGGGGTCAACATGGGGAAGATGAGATAGCTCTCTCGTCGCAGGTTGCAGGAGGAGCCGCTTCCACGTGATCCGATCTTGGACAGGTGCCGAGTGATCTATGCACCATTCGCAATTGGGGTTGTTTAGGGACTCCAGCACAGATCATTTCTGCTTCCGTCGTGTGCGAGTTTTTCTGGAAGCCTCTGTTCAAAATGTAACATCCCCGAAAGCAGCCGCTGCGTGCGAGTTGTTTCTTTTTTCGAAGGTGTTGGTGGCCGAGGCAACTTGCTAGCTCATTGCTTGTGTTTGGAGCTCGAAATCGCAAGCCTTGTCAGGGCATGTAAAGGCTTGTCGTCAAATCAGCTGCAACGATACTTACTCTACCGGCCATGGAGCTGTTCCCGTCGGATGTTCCTGAAATCGCTTCGGCCAGTTTCAATGCCACCGAGAAAACCAGTCGATTTTTCGAGGTATTCGCAGCCTCCGAGCCGACAGCTGCCGGATCCTTTGACAGGCCTGTGACGTGCACAAGCGTGAAGAAGCACAAAGGGTCGTCGGGATTTCGTGGTTCAGTCGGTGACTTCACACTGTTTCAACACAGAAAGAATCACAGTATGAAGGACCTACGGTTGTGATTGGATGTAGACTCTTCCACGGCGGCAAGAGTCTTTGCCTCAAGATCCAGGTGACTGGTACAGGGACGCACCCAGATCATCTTGTCGTGCGCTCAGCACGAGCGTCCGCTGAGCGCTTCACTTCTTCGAGGGTCGTTCATATTCGTTCTCTTGTCGCAGCGAGATTCTTTCAGAGTGTTTGACGTACATTTCCTCTTGGATCTCTGGCAATGCTCCATGGAGCCAGGCTTCTTTCAAGCTCACTTCTTTCTCTTACAGGAGCTCGACACCTCAAGCGCAAGCTGAGGGTTTCCTGTTCGCTTGTGTTCGCCTGCTGCCGTCGTCTCCGGTTAGAGTCGCCGGAAGGTCTTTCGGGGTCTGGGCGTTTCGAGTTCGGCAGGGACGTTCATTGCGGGACCCCCTGCTCAGATACCGCCTTCGGCGCACCTGCCGCAAGCTTGCCTGGCGAAGTTTTGAAGCGACCTTGGGGCTCCTTCTAAAGAAGTTGTAGCGCTTATTTTGGACTAATGCTGAGCCTTGGCAGTACTGCATGGAAGCATTACTGGATTGAGAGCCTTCATGTGGAAATCCCATCGCTTTGGACCTTGCGATGACAGGCCCTTCCTTGGGGGCCTACGGCAACGGCTATGCAGCCAGCACGGGCAGTGGTCGAAATGGCTACACCGCCCACGCGAATGGATACGCCAATGGCTTATCGTGCCCCCGAAGCCACTGCTGAAGGCATCATAGGACACGCAATCGAGGCTCCACCTTGCTCTGAAGATGTCTGACAGAATCGCTTTCTGTTCCAGAAACGCCTGGCGTGTGCCCGGTGCAGGTACTCCGGACTCCCCAACACGGGTGACACCTACTCCGGCGGGGCCTTTGGCTCCCCAACAAAAGGATTAACAGTGAGGGCAGAAGTAGATTGAGCAGGGTGAGCTCGGAGTTCTGAACATGCACGCTTGGGCATGTCGGGGCTCTTAGCTGCTGCTAGGTGGCGCGGTTTCCTATGGTCCTCCACCTAGCAGATGCTGCAGCCTTACCGAATCAAGGCAAATGGAGTGCATCCGGCAACGCCCCCGAAACCTTTCTGTGGTGTAGGGTGTTTTGCAAACAACCACCGGATCGTCTTCTATGTGCAAATCCTTCGCCGGCATGAGGTGGAACTTGCGGTCCCGAGTTTGGAGGCGTCGGGTCATTGAATCCGCCTGGTGCCCAGATCTCTTCGTGGAGATTCTGTCGGTTCGGCGTTGTTCCTGGGGAAACGAAGCCGAGAGTTCTGGAATTGAAGGTAGTGCCTGCTGCTTTCAGTTCACATACACGTACATAGTAGACCATTCGCACTCACGCTGCACTTACATACTGAACTGTTCAATTGAAGACCAGGGCACGTCTGTCAGATCAAGAGCTCAAATCTTACACAGTCTGACAGTGTAGCCATTTTGTGCACATGGCAAGCAATAGGTGGCCAATCGCTCCTGTGCATCCCACGATGCTTTAGCACCTCCACCCCCGCACAACTCCTACGCCTTCCTTCTTCCACCGCCTGAATCCCTCAAGGTTCGCCTTCCCCAGCATTGGAAGCTTCGTGGCGGAGCCCTTCGCCCCTGGTGCACCTTCGCTGAGCTCAGCGAGGTGCCCCGTGTGGACTAGGGCTGCAGCATCAGGAGGAATCGTAGCCTTGGATCCTGAGTTTGTGCTGGGCATCTTAGTTTTGACGTCTGTGCTCTAGTTTAGAGAGCAGGGGCTTTGCAAGGATGCGACGGTAGTCGGCCCATGTCGGCCCTTCTCGAGATGCAATGATTCGGTGATTTTCGGTGTCAGGGTGCCTTCATTGGCAGTCATGGAGTGACGGGCCGGGGTTCCCTGGTTCAGTGCTGCTGAAAGTCTCCAGGATGCCGCCAGCGCCGATCCCGCCTCCGCTGCCGAGCTTTTCAGGAGCCTCTGGGATTCTGCTGATTCTTACAAATCGTTCCTCGCAATGGATTTCAGTATGGTCCTTGTTGGTACCATCACTATATTGTTTTTGTTCGTATGGTCTCTTGTGACTGCTATCCTCCCGCAGCGTCACTAATACCGCACTACCCTGACTTCATTCTTGACCTGATTACTTGGTTTGGAAGTGATTTGTGTTGCAGATCCAAAGTGTTTAGCATCACTGCGCTTGCCTTTTTGCGGTGTGTTTCCGCTGGTCGGGGTCTTAACATACCTCGGCACATATCTCCCAACTGCCCCCCACTTAGTCTTAGGCTCTGAAAGTATCCCCGGGCAGTCTGGATACTGAATATGAAACATGGTAACACGGTGCATTCTCCGATCCCTCAAGCTGCTCTACTTCACCGAGTCGCGATTTCTGGCTGAGCCCCGTCGCACAGCTTTGCCTCCCGAGGCTCGGGCTGCCAAAAACGAAACCTTTGAAGGTACTCTTCATATTAATAATAACAATAATTATTATTTCCATTATTATTATTACTATTATTACCATTATTCTTATTATTCTTATTATTCTTCTTATTATTACTATTGTTACTATAGATGGATGATCACATCCTGAGCTCCCGAACACCAAGCCTGCAAGCCCACAAACTCGCCCTTTGCAACTCGGGTATCCAAAAGGAAATTCCAGCATCTTATACTTGATAATGCTCCCAGAATAGCTCGTAGAACTATGATAACAACGCCCATAGGCACCCTAATTCTAGCCCCTGTAGTATTCGTATAATAGCAACGCCCAATAGCCCTTACAATGCTGCGAAGAAGAAGCCTTCAGAAGCTTCGATGCAACGACAGGCCCGAGCCTCCTCGGAGGGAGTTTCAACTTTGGAGGCAGGCACGGATTGCTTAGGGGTCTGGAGTCTAAATGGTTAGCAAGACGAGTGACGAGTGATTAAGCTTTAGGGTTCCATGGGGTAGTTACGGTTGTATAGAAACCCTACTCTAATCATATTCTAACTAATCATTAAGGCTTCTCTAACTGTCTCAGGCTGCTTTCAATAAGGCGGGGTTTGGGCACTCTTCCTCTAGTTGTTCTTCTTGTTGTTGTGGCTCTTCATGTTATCATCGGGCCTTGGGGTAAAGTGAGAGCCTGCAGGTGCTGGGGGCTTCGACCCGAAACCCTGAAGCATAAGCCCGATGCCTTGAAGCCTGAGGTCCAGACAGTGAGCGAGAAACATGCTAAGGCCCCTGAGCCCTCACAGAATCCGGAAGTCCCCAGCAATTTTGGGGTAGACGCCAGTTGATCCTGACTCCACTCCTCGACCCCTACCTTGCAAGCCTCCTAACCGCAGGGTTTTCGCTGCCGCCTCCGACTGGCTCCTTTGTGGCAGGCCTGCCTTGCAAGCTGGACTGTCTAGAGTCATTATACTGTCTATAGTGGCTACTATAGTCTATACCTTCAGAACGGACAAGCAAAGAAACATGGTCTGGAGCATCTGTCACAGATGCCACGGCCCACGCGACGGCCCATGCGGCCAGCCTAAGTCGCTCGGAACAAGTGGCTGGCGATTACCGTAGCCGTGCAAAGAGTTGCTGTGGAGCGTGGTGTTTCCGTTTGGGTCAAGACCAAAGTTCAGACTCGTTTTCAGTGGGTCGACAGATAGTTTTCCCCGTGCACAGTCAATGCCGCTATAAAGTGAGCACTCGTTTTCGGGGGGATGAGGAAGACCTCAAGGATTTCTTGCCAGCACGCGCAGTACCAACAAGAGGAAACCCAATTCGAAGAGCTCTGCGACCAAGGTGGAGGACAAAGCCCGGCGGCCGAATTGCCCAGTGGCCTCCGACCCAAATATGTTGTATTGACTGCTTCATCGGTTGTCTTCTTGCGAGGGCTGAGTACCTTGAGTAAGAAAAAAGGCCGAACAGAGCCGGTTCGACTTGAGTCCGACTCAGGTCTTGATCTGCAATCATGACCTGAACAGGTCGATTCGGCAGAACAGAGTATATACCCCGTGGATCCGTACGGGTATATACAGGTCATGATGTGTATTTTGTTTAGAAGCAACAGAGGCTGCAGCGGAAGGAACCTGGATGACACGGTCAGGGTGTGTGTGTGTGTGTGTGTTAGCTGTTAAAAGAGGGAGGGTAGCTTTGAGGTGGATTGGGGCCATCACCCAGCCCTGCTCCGCCAAATCTGGCATCAAAGGAGAAGGCGAGCGCTTTTCGCCTTTGTACTTTGCATCCTGATGCTTTTTTTTTCGGGAGGCCGCAGCGCAAGAAGGCCGGGTCCTTTCGACTGCAGCGGGTTAGTTTGGTTGTTCCTCACCAGGACAGGCGTGGGGTAGCTTTCGTGTGGAAGCGGAGAGACTGCAAGCTTAGAGACAGCCGTGTCGTTCGGTAAGAACACTCAACTTGCTTGGGGCATGGCAGGTCGCGTGGACCCTCAGCCGGCGCCGAAAGCGGAAAAGACGAAGCCAACGCAGAAGACCCGGTGGGTTGGTCGAGATGTGAGGTAATGTGAGGTACAACAGACTAAGCACACAGACTGCACCTCGGGCTTCCAGCCATTTGCACGGCAGGACCAAGAAACGAAGGCAAGCGAGAGGGGCGTGTTGCTGATGCCTGCAATTCACAGACTGGCGACCCAAAGATACGGCTGGTACTATCCATTCGCCCAGTTTGGCACCCAGAGTGTCTCTGCTGGAGACATCTTGGTCGGGCATGAACTCGACTGGTGGCCTTCAGCGCCACTGTGTGTGCTCAATAGGGCAAGACATTTGCACAAAGGCTAATGAGCAAAAGTGAACGGCTTCGGACTTGGAAGCCAAGGTTCACTGAGCCGAAAGTTTCGATTCAAACAGGCATCGGCCTATTGTTTGCATTTAGCTGTCTCTGGCAGCCCGTCGAAATTCCAGCTGCCCGACGAAAATGTTTGGGCAGCGGGTGTGTCGTACATTAGCACGAGCATGCTTCAGCCTTGAGGGTTTTTGCACCTATCTGTGCTGGTCAACTGCTGCGTTCCGAGCACCCGCCAGTGGGACCAAGCAGCCACTACTACGACAGCGACAAAGAATAGGAATAGGAGCGATACAGGTTGCTCTTATTTTGACTCGTTCTGTAGCAGTGTTCGTGGAGCTCCGCATCGTGCAGAATCGGAAGAGGTGCTCGTCGTTGTCGCTCCACAGACAAGTAGTACTGGAAAGACGCAGCAATTAGTGGTAGTCGTAACAGTCGTGCTGCTGTGGTGGTATGTCCGTCCGTCGTTTCGTCGTCGTTGTTGTCGTGTCTTTGTCTTGTCGTCGAAGAGCGTCGTCGTGGGATCCACGTCGTGGCCTTGGCTGCAGCAGCAGCAGCAGCAGCAGCAGCAGCAGTAGCGGTAGCGGTAGCGGTAGCGGTAGCAGTGGCGGTGGCAATGGCAGTATCAGTCGCAGTACAAGAAGCAGCAGCAGCAGCAGAAGCATTCGCAGTGGCAGTGGTCGTGGTCTTTGTCGCAGTTGCAGTCAGCGGTGGTGGTGGTTGTGGTGGTCGTGGTCGCGGTGGTAGTAGTAGTAGTCGTCGTCGTCGTCGTCGTAGTGGTGTTCGTCGTCCTACTGACATTGGTAGTGGTAGTGGAACGGTAGTGGTGGTTGGCATGAGGCGAACACGAGTGGTGATGACTGTCGCATCGAGTTTTGGAGACGACGATGTATTATGACGACGATGATAAGTAGGAGGACGTTGTTGATGATGGCGTTGGTGATGCTGATGATCCCTGCATATCATACGCAGCAACCATGATATTAGATCAATGATCTTGCTTGGGGCTCCTGCAGACTTCCCGGACCTTCAAGGGAGAAGCGTGCATTTTTCGCAGCTGGTGGAGCAACGGCCACGTCGCCTCGACTGTTATGGCTGCTCTCTCACTTGGTTGAATGTATCCGGTTCTTGTGGCAAATGGGGCTGCTTTGTACCTCTTTGCGGAGTTAGGCACCGACTTTTGAAGCATCGCGGCACAATTGAAGATTCAAAGCCGAGTCATTTGATTTTCCCGGGGTTCCGTGGGTGCAGAGAGCTTTCCAAGGCAGCAGGCACAGGGCTGTTGGACTCCACGTCTTTGAAGTCAGAGATGCAAGAAGCCATTCCGATCATGGCCGGGTGAGCAAAGCTGGCCGGAACTCGCCCTAACTGAATTCAGATGCGAAGCCGTGGCCGAAAAAATGGCAGGTGGAGCTGTAAGCTAAAGGCAGGGTAGCGTGCAGGGTTACTTAGGGACTTAGCACTCCGCCTCTGGTCATGCCTCATGAAGCAACTTGGGTGAGTCCGTCTTGCTGTCTGGGTTCCGAGCCGGAAATCGACGATGTTAACAATCTGACACTCGCACTCCTTTCCATTGAGTATGCCAAAGGTCGAGCTGCTGCATCCAGACGCTGCTTCGACGTCTGCTATGCAAACAACACAGCGATCTTCAGAGCGACTACCATCGCATGTCTCGGCAAACAGGAGCGCTCCCAACATCAACACAACATGTTCCCGAGCCATGGACCAGGCACGGTTTGGAAGACCGATAGGGGTTAAGCTTGGTCCCGAGCTTGATGGAATCTTCGACATCCAGTACACTACTGTTGCTCAGAGCTTTGGGTTGATGGTTGCAGAAGTTGAATTTGTTGTGTTTTGCGTTCTTTCGTCCATGTGGCAGCAGTCAGGTGCACTGTGGTCAACTTTGGCTCCGTGAATCATTGCAGTCGTTTGCGCACGCGATCTTGGCTGAAGGCTAGAAGTCCAGATGTTTTGCTAAGGCGTACCATGGCATTTGCGAGTACCGTCACACGGCTGGAGCGAAACTCTCGCGGGTATTCGTGGTCGCGGTCAAAAACGCTGAATCCTGAATCCTACCTCCTGCCGTCTTGAGTCCCACAGATTGATCTGTCCGGAACGCATCAGAGCAACCACAGTCTGCCGCGATTGAGCCATGGCTGACCCACGGCCGTTGCTCGCTGGGCAGGCATGCAGTCGCTATGTATAGAGGCAGTGGTTTACAGTATGTTTACAGTACATGTGCAGTACATGAGCTACACACTGCTACGTCACCAACATCGTCGTCATCATCATAGTCTTCGTCATCCTCGTCATTACCACCAGGCTTGTAAACACCTACCTGATAAGATACACTGTGAGATTAAGGTGCTATAGCAAGCATACTACTTTCTGCTATATTTATATTTATATATATATATGGAGTATCGAACCCCTTTGCATGATATCATACTTTGTTCCATTGTTGTGTGGCTATCGTGATATAGTATATGTGGTATTGGACGATCTTAAGTTTGAGGATGTTGGCTTCTTCCAGGCTGCTTTTCTAGTATGGCACAGGCACAGGTTGTGAAAAGAGAACACCTTGGAAGACTGTGCTCCACCTTTAAACCCCCTATGTGCAGCGGTCTCACGTCTCACTGTTAAGCCTCGTCGACCACCAGGAACATCTTAGTACAGCACACTTTAACTTGTCACACCAAAGAATGTGGAACGGTGCAGCTCGCAACATCCAAGTGTGCAAACGTGAGTGCAAAGAACAGTCGCAGAAGCTTTCTACATATCCAGCTTTACACAGTGGTTGCAGCGAGTACGGTACAGATCTCGGTAATGTATCGTCCAGGCGTTATGCTGCCGATCACCATCGCTAATCTCAAAGCCGGTACTTTGCCCGAGGGCACGGCCTCTGAGCTCGACTGCTTGGTCGTGGGCGCAGGCCCGCTGCAGCTGCTTGGAGAGCCCGGGCTGAGTGCGCTGAGGGGGCTTTGGCTCGGGCTTTCCAGCTTCAGCACGCTGTGAGAAAGGCCGCATCGCAGGCTACCAACTGGATCACCGCCACTTCCGCACTTGACGAATCACCCCGTTCAATTCAATCGAACGCATGTCCTGCGAAGCATACTCTTGTCAGCAGTTGAAGTGCACAAGACTCGACAGATGCAGGCATGGATCTGATGGTGTTGCCTTAATCCTTGCGCCTGTGTTGCAGCACCCTACATGTCAGAAGAGCCTCAAGGTCCTGTGGGCCTGCTTCTGGCAGCAGAGTTGTCAGGCACTAAGCGTGGTGAATTCTCTGAAGAGCGGGCTTTGTGATGAACATTCTCGTAGCATTGATCCTTGTTGCAGTTTCGCGTGAGCCTATGTCAATATCACCGAGTCGAAGCTCAGGTCCGCGCGAGGATGCCAGGCACTGTTTGTTCCCAAAAGTTCTTTGAAAGAGCCTGTACCACAGTGACTGAAACAGAGGCAGAGGCGGAGCCCAGTCTGGTGCTTGGGCAATCTCAACATGCAGCGAAGTACTGGGATTCCGAATCCACGCCTCCGATGCAGATGCCGCACAATCCAAAATTCCCAGCTTCAGTCTGCATTTGGGCAGGTTGCTATCATCGATGCCCTGACAGAGCCAGCGAAGATCACCAAGGCAGAGCAAGCTTAGAATTCCGAGCCCGAAACCGGATAGCCCGGCTTCGAGCAGTGCATGACATGATGGTGCATGCAGGCATCGGGAGTGGTCCCGCGAAGCTTGGAGGTACGGATCCCTTGTTCGGAAGCTTTGCTTTGTGTCGGAGTTGGGTTGATCTCTGGGCAAGATGCCGTCGATATAATTTGTTCTTTTTTGCGCAGCTGGTTTCCACGAGCTTCAGACATTATCAACGGGCTCTGATATACGTCAGCAATCCGAGATGTTGCGCCGTCTTGTCTTGATTTGTTCTTCTGTGGCTGGAGGGCAGGGTGTTTCGCAATCTGCATAACTCGGACCCAGAAGTTCAGTTCTTGCACGAGAATGGCGACAGCTCCTGACGCCAACTCTCCGAAGCTCTGCGTTATCCCAGGTTCTGCCCAGTGAGGTGGAAGCAAAGCTGTTGAAGCTTAGCTGCAGGGTAGGGAACTAGGGAACTGGCCCAGATGGGGAGTGCGTGAGGAAGAGCGGGAACCTGCTGAAAGAGATGAGAATCCTCGAGAAGCAGGCTGGGGCCCGGGAGTCTCGAGTGCCCTTTTTGAGCAGATCTTCGTCTTTTGGCGTTCTACTTGCTGGAAGTACTGATGTACAGATCCAAGTAAGTCGGTGTCGTGATGACTCTCATGTTCACAGGAGAACAAGCCCATAAAGACGGTGCTGTCAGTGCAGACTGCGCCCCTGGAGGCATCACGGTGCTTAGGTGTTTTTTGGGGAAGACGCAGTTCATGGTTTACTAATTAACATATTTAACATTATCATGTATGTTCTCACCCGCTGGCTTTGCGAAAAGAACTTCTCAGGTCTACCATGGAATTCTCGGCATCCGCCAGACCGAAACCTCACTGAATTGCTGATTCTTCGGCCTGTCATGCATTCAACATGCAGAAGTCAAGTGGTCTATGCTTGAGTCTTTACTTGCACATTTCTGCTTCGAGTGCAAGAGGCATGTAGAATCGCGCATAAGCTTGTGGCCAAAGGAAACTGAGCGCTATCTCACCGAGTACTTGACTGAGCTCCCCGACTGGACTCAGGGTGGAAAGAAGCTTGGCTTGCATTTCTAGGTCTCAGAATGGTATCTCAAGAGTCAAGAGCTCGTTTGTGCTTCCCTACCTACCCGTTGGCCCCCTGCCAAGACATTAAACTTGCTTTGCTCCGTCATGTTCAAGCCTCCCAAGCTTTGGGCCCCGACCAGCTGAGAAGCTAGTCTGGGCAAGTCTGGCTTTATCTGAGTAGGTAGATCCGAGAGGGACTCGCTACCACCATGTCCGAGTTTTGCAAGTTGGGCTCAAGAGACAGATGAATTTGGTGTGCTTGACAGGTTCAAGAAGTTCTTGAGGGGCAAATCTCGCTTTCAGATTCCGGCAATGGCTGGCCACTGCGGGGTGCCGGCCGCTGTAGCCCTGCTTGCCAAAGTTTGCATTGACTTCAGATTGGGCTAGAGACCGTATCTGAATCTCAAGTCGGAGCAGCGGGATGCCATCTGTAAGCTGCGGGATGTTCCGTCAGGAAGAAGATGTCAATCCGGCGAGGAGTGGCCTTGGAATCCTTCACCGAAGGCCCAGCGATGCCGGCTTTCAGGGTCTTCCAGCTTCCCATCATCTCCCATCTGTGCAGGTCCTATGGGAGTTCAGTGCCACCTAAAGCTTCCAGAAGGTACTCAAACGGTGCCTCGACAGATCTCGACAGACTTAAGCTTCAAGACTCTTGCGTGCTGGCTTGAAGTTGACGTTCAGGAACAAGGCAAGCATGTTAGATGTGCTCACAGTCTGGGCCTCAACGCATGGGAGTTAGGTGACCTGCAAGTTCTTGGTCGCCTGCGACGGCGGCAGATCTACAATCAGGCCAGGATGAAAGCTGAGGATGAGATTTCGAATGGGTGCTCATAGACCGAAACCCGAGAAAACGCATGAGGTGATGTGTCAAGCAGCTGCATGGAGTCCTGGAGTCTCTTATAACTTCCAACACATGCAGTTACTGAGTTGATAACGCACAAAAATTCCGAAGGAGACAACCTCGCACACGCAGCCATGTCCAGAATTTTCTCGAAGACCGCGAGAGGCATCAGTTGGGTTACTCCTTCGATGGTACCACCACACCGGAGTATTTCTTTGGCCTCGACGCCTGCTTTGAGAATTGGGAGTTCGACTCCAAGGACGTGCTCCGGCGAACATAGGGCCCAGCAGAAACGGCCCATGCGAGCAAGGCCAAGTCAGGATAAGTTTGTTCCGAAATTTTTGACAGTCAGCAGAATTTGCCGGAAGCATCATTTTCGTGGTGTCCGGCGCGAAGATATCTTTCGCAGAATCTGGAAGCTGAGGTCGTCAGTGTGTCTCTGACCCAGGACAAGGCCGGGACTGCCTTTCATCGGCTGCTCAAAAACAAACAACAGCGACGGCAAATCGACGACACCTGGAGCGGCAGTAACCGCTTACAACTGATATGGAGCTGTCGAGTTTTACTGAGCTGCTGCGGCCTCGCTCCCAATGCGCATTCTGATTCCAGGATCCATTGGCCCCTGGGTTTGCCTTCAACATACCCTTTGGAGATGGAAACTGCCTACTGCGCCTGGGCAGAGAAACGGAAAGACAGAGTTTGAGCTTTGGTAAGACTTGCGGACTGTGAAGAACCTGTCAGCCCCAAGCTTTGCAAATCCAGGCTCGTGGACCTCGACCTACAGCAGCAGAAGGATTGGGTCACAGGCGTAAGACATGCTTCCCTTGAGATGGATCTGCGACTGCCCTGGACGGTGACGGGTGATGGCAGAACATCGCGAAATGAACCCTAGGATGTACAGACGAATCGTTTGTCAAGTCCCTAAGCATCGCTGCAGTATGCGCTTTGTAGGTGAAACGGACCGCAATGGCTTCCCAGTGCTGTGCCAGCCGGAGGCTTGCAATTCTGTTCACGTCTTACGTCAAGCATTGTTTGCGGGAGATTCCGTTGCATTCAAACTGTCCGTGCCACCGGGATGTTTGAAAGCACGTCTCGCGAGTGTTCATGTTCGATGCAAACATGCTGCTGAGGCTGAGCATGTGCCTTTGCAACTGCGCTTCTCTTTTCGTTTCTGCCACGTAGTGTTGCCAAGTGTCGGCATTGCTCTTGATATGTCTATCCCTGTTAGATTACTGTCATGGCGAAGATGACAAGTATGCTGATGACTCGTGATGACGATGCTGGAGTGGAGGCATGCTGCCGTGAAATTGCTGTCTTAGCTACTGCTGTGATGGCTTTTCAATGAAAATGCTACGGTTGTTCTCTCCAGTATCTGGTCAGTCCCGCATACTCCCGTCAGGCCTCTTCCTGCCGGGTTTTGCTGTTGCCATGGCAGGTGGAAGACGTACTCCGAGTGGCCCGATCCCGTGGACTGGGCCAGCAGTGCTCTGTGACCT